CTGGTTTGCCTGCGGTCAGGCAGGGCAGTGCTTGATCTCCCAGTGCTTCACGTACCACACGATGGTAGCCCAGCTCCAGGCTGCCCCTCTGTCCCACCAGCTGCTGCCAGGCAGATGTCAGCTCCATAAACCAGTGCCATACTGAATATGGGAAGCAGAACTAGTGGGATGCTTGCAGTGCAGCTGGCACAACTTGTTGCCGCTCTTCTCTTGAAACACAGCGAGCTGACAGCCTCCTGCTGTCCACATTTTCACTTTGGACTGGCTCATGTAAACCCTGACTCCACCACTCCTCAGCTGGCATCCAGTAACTTGCCAGTTACCACGTAGAAGGGAGATGGTTGCTAGCTTTCAGCTGCACTTTCAGCCTCTCTGACTGTTCTGGCCGCATTAAAAGTGCGTACTTGTCTATGCCCCAGATCTCCAGCTCATTGCCAAAGGATTTAGGAAGCTTGTTCCAGACTTGTTAGCTCCCCCACCATCACAAGTGGATGAGACTTTACACGTATTAAAACTTGTATGGCAATTTTATGGCTTTCTTGGCTTTTTATGCAGATGTCTGAACATTATTGGGCTCCACAGAGTAACGTATCCAATGAAACGTCAACAGCAAAAACCTTCCAGCGCACAATTTCAGCACAGGTATGGCACAGGCTGGGGAGATGGTGTTAAACTGCTGTTATTTCTTTTTTTGCTTTTTTGGTTAGCATCTTTGGTTTTGGCAACTTCAGTGTATTCCGGTGCACTTAAGACCATTCTTCTTTTAGAAGCCCAGCCCCTGTGGTTGTTCCTGAAAAAACTAACCCGTAGATGATATTAATCGATACCTCACAATGCCCTGTGGTGACTCAACTCTCTCACTACAGCAGCTTTGTTTCAGAATCAACTTTGGGGAAAAAAAAGTAATTAATAGTGTCCTGTTTGCATCTCAGGACACGCTGGCCTATGCCACAGCCTTGCTGAATGAGAAGGATCAGTCTGGAAGCAGCAACGGGTCAGAAAGTAGCCCAGCCAACGAGAATGGAGAGAGACACCTGCAGCAGGTAACAATAAAATAAAGGCATGTTTATCTTCTGTTAGACAGCTTGTTCCTGGGGCTTGGGGCAGAACCACAGACACCATAATCATGCACCTTACAAAAATAACGTGCCCTCTCTTTTTCTCCCCATCCCTTGTGTGTATTGAAAGGGCTCAGAGTCTCCTATGATGATCGGTGAGCCCAAAAGTGACCTTGATGATGTTGACCCGTAGAGGATACCTACGAACACAAAACCAGATCTACTCAAACATTTAATGCCTGGTACCTACTGAAACTGGAGTCCTGTTGCTTAACGCTGTTGGAAGAGTCTGGAAGAGAAGTGGCTTTACAGGATCGGAGGCCGTGCTGGAGGAGGTTATTTCCCTCAAAGCTAAAAGCATTTTTTTTTAGCCACGAAGCCTTCAGGTCAATAAATACTCTAGAAAACTGCAACTTCACCTGCAGTAGCTTATGACAGTCCAGACACCGAAAACAGTTTGTCAAGAAGATTCTATCAAATACACAAACGCTAGTGGTTGAATTTTTATGTGAACATTAAATGAGTGAATGTAAAACTGTTGCTTTTCTGTGATGCTGCAAAAAAAAAAAAAATTTTTTGGTTTTTATACAGGAAACAGAAACCAGACTTGCCCTTATGTATGGAGGGCAAATTTTTAATCTTTCTGATAATATTGAATAGGAATATTCAAATTTCTGTAAAGATGTGTGATGACTTACATTTCATTGTAAAATATTAGTTAAAGAATGGGTTTACATAAGGACTTCTGTATTTAATATGTCTCCCTGCCAATTTGTAAAGCTCTTTATGAGAAGATTGCTCTGTGAGGAGAGTGATTTCTTATGGAAGGTTTGGTCAAGGAGCTCTGGAATGGGATTTTTTTCTGGTACCTTTCCAAAAACCAGACAATTGGGAAGGGCAATGAAAGAAAAGCTTTGTTCTCTAGAGATGCAGGTGTTCACTATTACAGGATGTTGGTGGGTTTAAGAAAAAAAAGTTAATGAGTAGTTTAAAAGGAAAAAAAAAAAGCACTTTAAGATGGAATTCTGTTGCAGTTTTACTCATTAAATTTTTTTAACCTCTGGAGACATATTGAATAAAAGGTAGTCTCAATCATGTGATCTGCAATCACTTGCTTATGCTTTGAAATTACTGAGAAAGTTGGTATTGGTTGTAAATGATGAATAACTTCTTGAGTGAGTTGGAGACACTGTTGTGCAGATTTTATAGCAGTTTTAACACGGGGGAAAAGAATGATTTGGCTTTGTATTTTCACTTGACCAGGCAACGTTTAAAATCTCACAGCTCTTTTGATTTGCTCATAAAACAACTGGAAACCAGTTGGGATGATTTGAGCACGGTTTTGTTTTCCGTGTCAGGTGCAGTTCAGTGATTTCTGGCTCTGGCTACCAGCTTCTTTTGTGCCAACTAACTCCTCGTCTTTTGTACATTTTTGCGTTCGTCACGTTTTCTGCACTGCTTTTTGCCTTTATTTATGGATTCTGCCTTACTTTAAAAAAAAAAAAATTATATAAACAAACATGCACAGAAACGGGGGGCATCTTAAGGAGTGCCTGGGTACCTCCAGAATAGATAAATTTGCCAAGTTAAAGGCACAACCAGCCAAAAAGTGCCTTTTATTTTTTTTTTTTTCCTTTTTACATACTGTTGCCGAAACAAGAAGCAGCAGACAGCTTTTCACTGTTGTGCACTAATATTGAAATTAACCAGTCATTTCACTGTTGGAAGTAAACACCTGACCTGATTTCAGCTGTTACAGCTTTATAACTTATTGCGGGTTAAGAGAGCCGGTGTCCTAAACTGCGGGTGCGACGGAGGAAGGGTGGTGGTGGTGTAGTCAATCTCTCACTTTCTTTTCCAAACAAATGTCTTCATAGACACATGGCAGAGTTTAGCATTTTATAAATGTTTCTGATTAATGTGCTGGGACATTTTAAATGTGATGTTTTAAATTAATTTGGAATAAACCATTTCTTACGGATACCCCTTCTTCCTTTCCCCCCACCCCCATCCCTGATAACTTGGTTAATGGGTCATAAATCATCCCGAGAAGTCAGTACACAGCGGTGATGGTGACGGAAGAAGCTGGTAAATGTTCCTATGGGTTGGCACCACTTGTCACTTCAGGTTCCTGTTATTTCCTATGGAAACAACGTCCTCGATTTTTCCGCAGGCCCAGAGAAGCATGGATGAAGAGAATTGCCTCGGGATGGCTCATCACCACTGTATACTTGAAACCAATACAAACTTTTTCATGGTTCTGCTCACGCTTGTACAAAGTCAGTGGTTTATAATTTGCAATCAGATGATACTCGGTCGATTATTTTTTTGTTTCCAGCTGCTGTCATTTGAACCTGCTGAAGATTATTTTTTGGAAAATAAGAGTTCAACAAAAACTAGTTTTTGTGTAAATTGTGATGCATTTCTATGTTGTAATTTTTACTGCCAATCTTTTTGGATGAAAATGTTTTTATACAGCTTACAAAAATGTTGGGTGAGGAGCAGCCGCAGCCTGCCTGTGAGCAGGCGGGGAGATATTGTCCAATTAATATGTAGGCATTTGGCACTGGAAAAAAAAAATAGGCAGTCTTGATGAACAGTCTTGGGATTCCTGGTCAATGGAATAAAGTTATTCCTTTCACAGAAAACGGGTGTAATCTTTAGACCACGCGTACGCTGTTAACGCTGTTGTCTTGTTGATCCTCTTATCTTGAAACTTCTCAGGCCAGTCCTGCAAGGTGATAAGCTGGGAGAGGTTGCCCCCTGATCGCTGTTTTGGCTCCTCTCCAGAGTAAATCAAAGCAGCTGAATGGCCCCGGAACCGCACCGCTGCGTGTCCTTACGCTGTGGCACCTTCTTCTGCCCTCTCAGATTAGTTATCAGCAAGTGTTTTCTTCTCCTGACCTTCTCAGCAGAACGATTTACCCTGGCTACGCTTGAAGTCAGGGATTAGATCAGCTTTTCCGTGTCAGATAACTCAAGCCCAGATCGCTGGCAGATCTTGCTAATACTGCCTTTTCTGTTGGTGTGAGGGCAGAGAGCTGGGCACACAGCAGTGCCATGGTCCCCGTGCTCACCTGTGTCCTGCCTTCCTAACCACGGCTCGCTTTCCTGACAGGTGTCTGTCCTCTGTTCTAAGGGCAAAGATTTTTATGTTTCAAGCATAAATGTCCATGCTCTCAGGCTGAGAGAGCGGGGATTGTTCAACCTGCAGAAGAGAGGGCCTCCAGGGAGATGTTATAGCCCCTTCCAGGACCTAAAAGGGGCTTCAGGAGAGATGGGGAGGGACTCTTGATCATGGAGTGGAGCAATAGGATGAGGGGGAATGGTTTTGAACTGAGAGGGTAGATTTGGATTAGATATCAGGAAGAAATTCTAGACCTGAGGGTGGTGAGACACTGGAACAGGTTGCCCAGAGAAGCTGTGAATGCCCCATCCCTGGAGGGGTTCAAGGCCAGGCTGGATGGGGCTTTGAGCAACCTGGTCTGGTGGGAGGTGTCCCTGCCCAGGGCAGGGGAGTTGGAACTCGATGATCTTTAAGGTCCCTTCCAACCCAAACCATTCTGTGAGTGGGTATCTCAGTGTGCTGATGGGACTGTCCCCAGCCTACCCGGCATCAGCGCCACCTTCTCTTGGGCGAGGGAGGCTTTGCTGCCCACCTACACACAAGATACTACACATGTTTTGAGAGCTTACAACCTGCTGGTTGGGCTTTTGCCATCTTTAGGGAACAAGTTAGAAATAGTTTAAACCTTTCAAAGTGGTGCTTCCCACTGGGTCTCTGTCTTCTTTTGCCAATCGGAGCTGGAGTAACGGAGCTGTGCGGGGCTTTTTAAGGGGGAAATACTATGAAAAAACTAACCCGTAGATGATATTAATCGATACCTCACAATGCCCTGTGGTGACTCAACTCTCTCACTACAGCAGCTTTGTTTCAGAATCAACTTTGGGGAAAAAAAAGTAATTAATAGTGTCCTGTTTGCATCTCAGGACACGCTGGCCTATGCCACAGCCTTGCTGAATGAGAAGGATCAGTCTGGAAGCAGCAACGGGTCAGAAAGTAGCCCAGCCAACGAGAATGGAGAGAGACACCTGCAGCAGGTAACAATAAAATAAAGGCATGTTTGTCTTCCGTTAGACAGCTTGTTCCTGGGGCTTGGGGCAGAACCAGAGACACCATAATCATGCACCTTACAAAAATAACGTGCCCTCTCTTTTTCTCCCCGTCCCTTGTGTGTATTGAAAGGGCTCAGAGTCTCCTATGATGATCGGTGAGCCCAAAAGTGACCTTGATGATGTTGACCCGTAGAGGATACCTACGAACACAAAACCAGATCTACTCAAACATTTAATGCCTGGTACCTACTGAAACTGGAGTCCTGTTGCTTAACGCTGTTGGAAGAGTCTGGAAGAGAAGTGGCTTTACAGGATCGGAGGCCGTGCTGGAGGAGGTTATTTCCCTCAAAGCTAAAAGCATTTTTTTTTAGCCACGAAGCCTTCAGGTCAATAAATACTCTAGAAAACTGCAACTTCACCTGCAGTAGCTTATGACAGTCCAGACACCGAAAACAGTTTGTCAAGAAGATTCTATCAAATACACAAACGCTAGTGGTTGAATTTTTATGTGAACATTAAATGAGTGAATGTAAAACTGTTGCTTTTCTGTGATGCTGCAAAAAAAAAAAAAATTCTTTTGGTTTTTATACAGGAAACAGAAACCAGACTTGCCCTTATGTATGGAGGGCAAATTTTTAATCTTTCTGATAATATTGAATAGGAATATTCAAATTTCTGTAAAGATGTGTGATGACTTACATTTCATTGTAAAATATTAGTTAAAGAATGGGTTTACATAAGGACTTCTGTATTTAATATGTCTCCCTGCCAATTTGTAAAGCTCTTTATGAGAAGATTGCTCTGTGAGGAGAGTGATTTCTTATGGAAGGTTTGGTCAAGGAGCTCTGGAATGGGATTTTTTTCTGGTACCTTTCCAAAAACCAGACAATTGGGAAGGGCAATGAAAGAAAAGCTTTGTTCTCTAGAGATGCAGGTGTTCACTATTACAGGATGTTGGTGGGTTTAAGAAAAAAAAGTTAATGAGTAGTTTAAAAGGAAAAAAAAAAAGCACTTTAAGATGGAATTCTGTTGCAGTTTTACTCATTAAATTTTTTTAACCTCTGGAGACATATTGAATAAAAGGTAGTCTCAATCATGTGATCTGCAATCACTTGCTTATGCTTTGAAATTACTGAGAAAGTTGGTATTGGTTGTAAATGATGAATAACTTCTTGAGTGAGTTGGAGACACTGTTGTGCAGATTTTATAGCAGTTTTAACACGGGGGAAAAGAATGATTTGGCTTTGTATTTTCACTTGACCAGGCAACGTTTAAAATCTCACAGCTCTTTTGATTTGCTCATAAAACAACTGGAAACCAGTTGGGATGATTTGAGCACGGTTTTGTTTTCCGTGTCAGGTGCAGTTCAGTGATTTCTGGCTCTGGCTACCAGCTTCTTTTGTGCCAACTAACTCCTCGTCTTTTGTACATTTTTGCGTTCGTCACGTTTTCTGCACTGCTTTTTGCCTTTATTTATGGATTCTGCCTTACTTTAAAAAAAAAAAAATTATATAAACAAACATGCACAGAAACGGGGGGCATCTTAAGGAGTGCCTGGGTACCTCCAGAATAGATAAATTTGCCAAGTTAAAGGCACAACCAGCCAAAAAGTGCCTTTTATTTTTTTTTTTTTCCTTTTTACATACTGTTGCCGAAACAAGAAGCAGCAGACAGCTTTTCACTGTTGTGCACTAATATTGAAATTAACCAGTCATTTCACTGTTGGAAGTAAACACCTGACCTGATTTCAGCTGTTACAGCTTTATAACTTATTGCGGGTTAAGAGAGCCGGTGTCCTAAACTGCGGGTGCGACGGAGGAAGGGTGGTGGTGGTGTAGTCAATCTCTCACTTTCTTTTCCAAACAAATGTCTTCATAGACACATGGCAGAGTTTAGCATTTTATAAATGTTTCTGATTAATGTGCTGGGACATTTTAAATGTGATGTTTTAAATTAATTTGGAATAAAGCATTTCTTACGGATACCCCTTCTTCCTTCTTTCCCCCCCACCCCCATCCCTGATAACTTGGTTAATGGGTCATAAATCATCCCGAGAAGTCAGTACACAGCGGTGATGGTGACGGAAGAAGCTGGTAAATGTTCCTATGGGTTGGCACCACTTGTCACTTCAGGTTCCTGTTATTTCCTATGGAAACAACGTCCTCGATTTTTCCGCAGGCCCAGAGAAGCATGGATGAAGAGAATTGCCTCGGGATGGCTCATCACCACTGTATACTTGAAACCAATACAAACTTTTTCATGGTTCTGCTCACGCTTGTACAAAGTCAGTGGTTTATAATTTGCAATCAGATGATACTCGGTCGATTATTTTTTTGTTTCCAGCTGCTGTCATTTGAACCTGCTGAAGATTATTTTTTGGAAAATAAGAGTTCAACAAAAACTAGTTTTTGTGTAAATTGTGATGCATTTCTATGTTGTAATTTTTACTGCCAATCTTTTTGGATGAAAATGTTTTTATACAGCTTACAAAAATGTTGGGTGAGGAGCAGCCGCAGCCTGCCTGTGAGCAGGCGGGGAGATATTGTCCAATTAATATGTAGGCATTTGGCACTGGAAAAAAAAAATAGGCAGTCTTGATGAACAGTCTTGGGATTCCTGGTCAATGGAATAAAGTTATTCCTTTCACAGAAAACGGGTGTAATCTTTAGACCACGCGTACGCTGTTAACGCTGTTGTCTTGTTGATCCTCTTATCTTGAAACTTCTCAGGCCAGTCCTGCAAGGTGATAAGCTGGGAGAGGTTGCCCCCTGATCGCTGTTTTGGCTCCTCTCCAGAGTAAATCAAAGCAGCTGAATGGCCCCGGAACCGCACCGCTGCGTGTCCTTACGCTGTGGCACCTTCTTCTGCCCTCTCAGATTAGTTATCAGCAAGTGTTTTCTTCTCCTGACCTTCTCAGCAGAACGATTTACCCTGGCTACGCTTGAAGTCAGGGATTAGATCAGCTTTTCCGTGTCAGATAACTCAAGCCCAGATCGCTGGCAGATCTTGCTAATACTGCCTTTTCTGTTGGTGTGAGGGCAGAGAGCTGGGCACACAGCAGTGCCATGGTCCCCGTGCTCACCTGTGTCCTGCCTTCCTAACCACGGCTCGCTTTCCTGACAGGTGTCTGTCCTCTGTTCTAAGGGCAAAGATTTTTATGTTTCAAGCATAAATGTCCATGCTCTCAGGCTGAGAGAGCGGGGATTGTTCAACCTGCAGAAGAGAGGGCCTCCAGGGAGATGTTATAGCCCCTTCCAGGACCTAAAAGGGGCTTCAGGAGAGATGGGGAGGGACTCTTGATCATGGAGTGGAGCAATAGGATGAGGGGGAATGGTTTTGAACTGAGAGGGTAGATTTGGATTAGATATCAGGAAGAAATTCTAGACCTGAGGGTGGTGAGACACTGGAACAGGTTGCCCAGAGAAGCTGTGAATGCCCCATCCCTGGAGGGGTTCAAGGCCAGGCTGGATGGGGCTTTGAGCAACCTGGTCTGGTGGGAGGTGTCCCTGCCCAGGGCAGGGGAGTTGGAACTCGATGATCTTTAAGGTCCCTTCCAACCCAAACCATTCTGTGAGTGGGTATCTCAGTGTGCTGATGGGACTGTCCCCAGCCTACCCGGCATCAGCGCCACCTTCTCTTGGGCGAGGGAGGCTTTGCTGCCCACCTACACACAAGATACTACACATGTTTTGAGAGCTTACAACCTGCTGGTTGGGCTTTTGCCATCTTTAGGGAACAAGTTAGAAATAGTTTAAACCTTTCAAAGTGGTGCTTCCCACTGGGTCTCTGTCTTCTTTTGCCAATCGGAGCTGGAGTAACGGAGCTGTGCGGGGCTTTTTAAGGGGGAAATACTAGAAAATAGCCAAAGTTTGACAGGTAGACCTGGTGCTTGTCCTATCAAGCTTTGTTTTGTCATCCCTCCCCAGGTAACCCCTATGATAGTAGCAGGAGGCTGCTGATCCCCCCCCCCAAAAAGCAAGATCCAGTTTTGTTGGCTTCTGGTACTTCTCAGCCTTTCTCTGGTGCTGAGCATCTCTGCTCCCTCTGCTTTCTGGGGCTTCTGTGCTTGCCCGGTGAAGCCCAACATTAGCAGCAACAGCAATAAAAAGCACAAGGGCACATTCCCCAGGGCTGGGTGAGGGTTTGTTTCCGTAACTGGAAGCTCTTGTCCCTCCACCGCTGTTGTAAAAACAAACTTCTGCTCCTGGGTGTGCGTGGGACAACAAGGCCCAGCCCCTGGTCTCGGCCGGCTGCTGGTTGCCCTGACCTCGGAGGATGCCAGCGCTCACCCAGGGTCACCTCGTGCCCGAGGCAGGGGTCAGAGCCCACGGTGGTGACCTGTGGCTGCCTCGATAATGAAGCCGAGCTCATTTTGGGGAGCAGCATCCCTGCCGGATGGGCGCCAGCTCCCCCTCCCAGGCTGGTTCCCCGTGGGGATGCATAGGAAGGCAGACGATGGATCGTCGTCTACTGAGCACTGGTCTGTGAGTTTTATTTGAAAAAGACGTTTATAAAATGTTTATTTATAAAATTCCAAATAAATATTTTAAGGTACAAATGTAAAAACCAAGGTACTATGAAAGCTTTTTCTTCTTTCTTTTTTTTTTCTCTTTTTTGAAAAGGAATTACGGCCAGTTCTATGTGTCTTGGGACGAGCTGAAAGGGAAACTGTTAAAGCAACGCGTACCACCAGCACATCATTAACTTTAACTTAACAACAGCAAAAAAAAACCACTAACAAAGCAGTATCTGACTGTAGCAATGCAGATTAAAAACTAATTAACCAAGAAGACTGTTTAATCTATAGCCCTTACACTTGACTAAAAAGTAAAGAAGTCTCTTAGGTACATGAGTAGGCAATTACTGTCCAAAAATAGCTAAACTATGATTTTCCAGGTGCTAAGCAGCATTAGCTGACATCTAACGAGCAACTAACCAGGAAAGAAAGGAGCATTCCTCACCACAATATTATTATTTTTTTTCTAAAAGGTGGTGGTTTTGTCCCGTGCTGGGTGACAACACGAAGGAAGGGCCTCAAGAGGGCTCGTACAGTTGGGGTATTGCTAGAAAGACCCGGTGGGGAAGGGACACCGGGGTGACTCCTGAGATGGGACAGGGCTCTGGCTGCTTGGAGACCTCTTCCAGAGTCATCCTGGGTCTTGGTCCCACCACGTGCGAGAAGGTGATGAGCCTGTACCCCACCATCAGGGCAGCCCAAGCGCGGAGGTCATCAGAGCCACATGTTGGACCACGGACCACCCCAGGTGTGGCAGCTCAGCCCTGGGGAGGTAAGGATGGGGTGATGTGGGGGTCCAGCGAGGCGTCCATCCCTGCTACGCCAGGCCAGGGCCAGGGCAGCCATGTCTCCATCTCAGCCTGTCCCTACTGCCGGATCCGGCAGCAGATGGCGATGGCCACGGCCGTGCTGCTGCCTGGGACACTGGATGCCACGCAGGTATCATCCACGGCGTAGGCTCCCATGGTGCCATGGCTCTGGGAATGGGCGTTACAGCCCGTCAGCGTCCAGCCGTCATCACAGGACACCGTCACCTAACGGGGGAGAAGAGGTCACCTTCCATGGGTCAGCAAAGGGCAGGGGTCTGCCTCTCTCCAGTGGTCAGGGTGATGTGGCCAGTGTCACACTGAGCCACCGGCCACCAGTTGGGGACACCAGTGCAAACTGGCGTTGGGGTGGCTGCAATGAGGTGCCAAGGCCAACCCAACCCAACCCTCAGGTCGGCAGAGGGACAAGCAGAGGTGAGGACATCACCACGGTGGAGACACCTGCACCATCCCTACCTTCTCCGCAGAGCCCGTGGACGTGTGCTCCTTCACCCGGCACTCGAGGCTGGCCGCAGGGCAGCACAAGGCGTGTGCCACCACCTCCGTCCCACCGGCGCAGTGACTGGGCCAGCTCTCCGGGCCCACCACGGGTCTGCCACTGTCACCCAGTGCCGCCGCGGGGGAGCGGAAGCTGCAGCCTGCCGAGGGGAGAGGAGAGGGGCTGTCGGTGTGGGGTGGCCATGGAAGCATCCCCGGGCACACACGAGCGCTGAGGGATGTCCCCACCGAGCCCTGAGTCTGCCCACGCACGCAGCACGTGTGGCAGAGTCACGGAATCATGGAATGGTTTGAGTTGGAAGGGATCTTAAAGACCATCCAGTTCCAACCCCATGGGCAGGGACACCTCCCACCAGACCAGGTTGCTCAAAGCCTGGTCTTGAACCCCTCCAGGGATGGGGCAGCCACAGCTTCTCTGGGCAACCTCTTCCAGAACCTCACCACCCTCACAGGAAACAACTTCTTCCTCATATCTAATCTAAATCTCCCCTCTTTCAGTTTAAAACCGTTACCCCTCATCCTATCACTCCACTCCCTGATCAAGAGCCCCTCCCCATCTCTCCTGTAGCCCCTTCAGGTACTGGAAGGGGCTCTAAGGTCTCCCCAGAGCCCTCTCTTTTCCAGGCTGAACAAACCCCAACTCTCTCAGCCCATCCTCATAGGAGAGGTGCTCCAGCCCTTCCACGTCCCCCCTTCCACCTTCCATGTCCCCCCTTCCATGTCCCCCCCAGCACTCACATCCACCCTTTTACCCCTTGGTCCCGGAGATTTTCTGGAAGAAACACCCTTGGCCATCATTGTGTTGGCTCAAGGCTCTGTAACCCTCCACATGGGGCATTACCGGTCAGCACGTGGTCCCGTGGGGAGCAGCCAGCCCCCTCAGCCACCGGGGAGCTGGCGTTGATCCGGCACTCAGCCCTGGGCCACGTGCAGCACCGGGCGATGGCGTAGACACCCCGGCCCCGGAAAGCGTTGTGGGCCACACACTGCTTCTGCCCGTCCTTGTCCTGCAGCCGGGGCAGCACAATGTCACCGGGGGTGCTCGGGGAGGGGCTGGGGATGCCCCTCCAAGGCCGGCGGGCACCTCGAGGGCAGGACTCATGTCTCAGCACCCCCCCATCTCACCTCCATGTGCTCCCCCAGCCGCCGGCCGCTGCGGGAGAAGCTGGAGCAGCTGAGCATCTCCTCGGCGTCGGCGCAGCGAGCCACGGCCGTGGCGTGACGGGTGAGCCCCGAGCGCCCCGACCACACCGAGCGGCAGTACAGCTGCTCCTCTGCAATGGGGCAACCAGCATCAGCTCTGGGGGGAACCTCCCCCCCTCTCCAAGAGCCCACAGCATGCATCGGGATGCCAACGAGGGGTGGAAGGTCTCCCCGCTACCCGCTGCGTGCAGCCACGCTCGGGTTCATAGAATCAATCATGGAATATTCATGGTTGGGAGGGACCTTTGAGATCATCAAGTCCAACCACACATACACACAAAAAAAAAAACAAACGAAAAAACCCCACACCCACCCACAAACAGACAGGATGCCAACGAGGGGTGGAAGGTCTCCCCGCTACCCGCTGCGTGCAGCCACGCTCGGGTTCATAGAATCAATCATGGAATATTCATGGTTGGGAGGGACCTTTGAGATCATCGAGTCCAACCATACATACACAAAAAAAACCCCAAACCAAAAAACCCCACACCCACCCACAAACAGACACAGCCCAACAATCTCAGCAACTACAGCATGCCCTGAAGAGCCATGTCTCCACGTTTCTTAAATACCTCCAGGGATAGTGAATCCACCACCTCCCTGGGCAGGCTGTTCCAGTGCCTGACCACTCTTTCAGTACAGTAATTCTTCCCTAATATCTAATCTAAACCTCCCCTGCCCCAACTTCAGACCATTTCCTCTGCTCCTGTCATTATTCCCTTGGGAGAAGAGCCCAAGACCCATCTCTCTACACCCTCCTTTCAGGGAGTTGCAGAGGGCAATGAGGTCCCCCCTCAGCCTCCTCTTCTCCAAACTAAACACGCCCAGTTCCCTCAGCCTCTCCTCATATGACTTGTTCTCTAGACCCCTCACCAGCTTGGTGGCTCTCCTCTGGACACGCTCCAGCACTTCAATGTCCTTCCTGTCCTTCCCCCAGAACTGAACACAGCACTCGAGGAGAGGCCTCACCAGTGCCCAGTACAGAGGCACCATCACTGCTCTACTCCTCCTGGTCATGCTATTCCTGATACAGACCAGGATGCTGTTGGCCTTCAAGGTCCCCCCTCAGCCTCCTCTTCTCCAAACTAAACACGCCCAGTTCCCTCAGCCTCTCCTCGTATGACTTGTTCTCCAGACCCCTCACCAGCTTGGTAGCTCTCCTCTGGACACGCTCCAGCACTTCAATGTCCTTCCTGTCCTTCCCCCAGAACTGAACACAGCACTCGAGGAGAGGCCTCACCAGTGCCCAGTACAGAGGCACCATCACTGCTCTACTCCTGCTGGTCACGCTATTCCTGATACAGACCAGGATGCTGTTGGCCTTCAATGGTGTTCCTCCATCCCCCTTGGCCTTTGATGGTGTTCCTCCATCCCCCTTGGCCTTCAATGGTGTTCCTCCATCCCCCTTGGCCTTCCATGGCATTCCTCCATCCCCATTGGCCTTCGATGGTGTTCCTCCATCCCCGGCAGAGCTTTGGGGAGGAACATGCCCTTCCGATGTGCTGTGCCTCCACCCAGACACTTCTTTCCCCGGTGAGGACAGAGCTCTGCTGGGCAGTCGAGGTCTTTACCTGTGCCCAGGCGGGTGGGCAGCCCGGCCACACTGTTGGGCGTCTGGAGCCGCTGCTCCTCAGGGAACCACGCCGTGTCCATGACGTTCTTGGTGGCGAAGTGCAGGAGGCGCTGCCGGAGCTCGGCGAGGCTCAGCTGGGCCATGGCATTCCTCCATCCCCATTGGCCTTCGATGGTGTTCCTCCATCCCCGGCAGAGCTTTGGGGAGGAACATGCCCTTCCGATGTGCTGTGCCTCCACCCAGACACTTCTTTCCCCGGTGAGGACAGAGCTCTGCTGGGCAGTCGAGGTCTTTACCTGTGCCCAGGCGGGTGGGGGCACAGCTTTGGGGAGGAACATGCCCTTCCAACATGCTGTGCCTCCACCCAGACACCTCTTTCCCTGGTGAGGACAGAGCTCTGCTGGGCAGCCGAGGTCTTTACCTGTGCCCAGGCGGGTGGGCAGCCCGGCCACACTGTTGGGCGTCTGGAGCCGCTGCTCCTCAGGGAACCACGCCGTGTCCATGACGTTCTTGGTGGCGAAGTGCAGGAGGCGCTGCCGGAGCTCGGCGAGGCTCAGCTGGGGCTCGGCGCTGAGCAGCATGGCAGCGATGCCTGTAGAGAGCCAGGGGGGGACACGGTGAGGAGCTGGGGGGACAAGCAGCCCCCTACACACAGCTCCCCTGGGTGATGCAGCTCCATGAGATACGAGAAGAACCACCGCAGCCCATCATCCCCCCGACACGGGGATGGGAGAGCTCTGCACAGGCTGCGGCACCCAAACGAGCCAAAACATCCCAAAACTGCAGCATGTGAAAAAATGTCCCCCCTGGACACGCATGCCCAGCACCACCAAGGGTGGTCACCACCAAGGGCCACCCCTGCCCGCCGCCCCGTAGCCCATCTCACCTGCCACGTGCGCGGCCGCCTGCGACGTCCCGCTCTGCGCCGTGAAGCACGTGCTGCAGTCGCTGGAGGCCCCAACGATGTCATCCCCAGGGGCGAAGAGGTCCACGCAGCGGCCAAAGTTGGTGCCCAAGGTGCCGATGGAGGCGGGTTGGTCCTCGCTGTTGGTGGCACCCACCGTGATGACCTGCCAGGGATGGTGGGGGGGACACAGAGAAGAAGGGATGCCCATCCCCAGCCCGCTGGCGCTGGAGTGGATTAACCTGGGGGAGGTGGCAGCATGTTCCCCACGTGTCCCCACACCTTGGGGAACCCAGCTCATACCTCTGGCTCGGATGCTGGTGGCAGCCCCCTACACACAGCTCCCCTGGGTGATGCAGCTCCATGAGATACGAGAAGAACCACCGCAGCCCATCATCCCCCCGACACGGGGATGACAGAGCTCTGCACAGGCTGTGGCACCCAAACGAGCCAAAACATCTCAAAACCGCGGCACGCGAAAAATGTCCCCCCTGGACACGCGTGCCCAGCACCACCAAGGGTGGTCACCACCAAGGGCCACCCCTGCCCGCCGCCCCGTAGCCCATCTCGCCTGCCACGTGCGCGGCCGCCTGCGACGTGCCACTCTGCGCCGTGAAGCACGTGCTGCAGTCGCTGGAGGCCCCGACGATGTCATCCCCGGGGGCGAAGAGGTCCACGCAGCGGCCAAAGTTGGTGCCCAAGGTGCCGATGGAGGCGGGTTGGTCCTCGCTGTTGGTGGCGCCCACCGTGATGACCTGCCAGGGGTGGTGGAGGGGACACAGAGAAGATGGGACGCCCATCCCCAGCCCGCTGGCGCTGGAGTGGATTAACCTGGGGGAGGTGGCAGCATGTTCCCCACGTGTCCCCACACCTTGGGGAACCCAGCTCATACCTCTGGCTCGGATGCTGGTGAGTAGAGGCAGGCATCATCCTTGTAGTTACCAGCAGCAGCAACCAACACCACCCCCAGCCGTGCCATCCGCCGGCAGCCCGCGTTGAGCACTCGGCTGTAGGCACCAGCGAAGGGCAGGAGGACCACCGGTGGGGCGAGGGGTTGAGCGTCCAGCGTCCCCGCGATAAACTCCAGCGCTGGGAGGAGAGGGGACAAGAGGAGGGACAGGAAACTGGGGACGAGGAGAGGGGGGGCTCCGGGCCATCCGTGACTCACCGATGAGGGTCCCGCTGAGGGTGCCCTTCCCCTGGCAGTTGAGGACGCGGAGGCTGCGGACGTTGGCACCCGTGGCCACGCCGGCGTCGCGCCCGCTCAGCACCCCGGCCATGTGGGTGCCATGGCTGTCACACTTGCTGGCCTGGCACAGAAGACCAAAAAAAAAAAAAAACCCACCCTGTGCAGGAGAAAAGCTGGCAGAAAGGGGGCAGATAAAGCCATGCGGGGCAGCACCAGCACCCACCACAGGTCTCCTGGCCCTGGGTGTGAGGTGGACCTCCATTCCCTCTTGCAACACCACCTTAATGCTCACCTGTGCCCCCCCCCA